TAATTGTGTCACATAACCCAGTGACCCTTTACGTTATGATGGGTGATTATACAAAGCACAATTATAGAAAGAGCTGGTACCTTTTAACTGATTAAATGATATGATCTGCTTTTGGGCTTCTTTTTAATTTGATTATTCAATCACCAAAAAGTGCAAACTGAACAAGAATGACAGTTTGAATATTGTTTCCAGAGAATGAACAAAACTTAAGACACAATTTTGAGATTTGTAATTACTTAAAACTAGAAAATAATTACAAGTAAAGATGATATCAAATGATATCAAATACATACAATTATCACTCCCTTTGAGTTATTTTATAACTCAAAATATTTAGAGGTATATTTTGTCTACTTTAGTTTTTAGGTTCTTTGTCTCTGCAATTTCTCTACTGTTCATTTGAAGCCTGTCATTTGATGGCAGTTAAAGTTAAAATGACTCATTGTCTTCCATGCTTTGTATCTACATAGAAATATTTCAACTAGACATACAATTAACTCATTCAAAATTATTGGCTGTATATCATTTAGTATTGCATCACCTCAAAAGACTCATAATAACATGTAGTTCAAATACTGATTTAAAATGCTGTAATTTGATAAGTGACCCAAACTATGCATTTTTCATAGTTTGGTAATTTTCCATAGCTAAATAACCTTGTATTTTAGAGTATGAAATAAATATAATGATAGAACAAAATAATTAATTTGGTTTAATGATATAAATCTCTTGTTAATATTTCATGGAAGACCAAAATCCAGTAAAGGACAAAATTCTCTGTAACAGGTAAATAAAATGCATTTATTTGCTCTTCTGCTAACCTCCACTAATGCAAACCAGAAGTTGTAGAAGTCCAAATAAAGGTAGAGAAGCCAAATTTGGGGAGAAAATATGTCATTTTATTAAACACGAGGAATGATGTAATTTTTCAATCCATCTTAAGTGAGTGAATGCAGATTCATGTTGCCACAAAAAAATGTGTGTCCTGTTCCCCTCTTTTAAGAAAGATCTTCAGGCCATGTCTGTATCAGACATAGTCAGAATGTGACATACAGCTGTGTCAACAGTTAATCTCAACCACACCAGGGGTGCAACACTGTGTCCTAGTTTTAACAGCTCTGTGAAATAATCATGAACCATGTCCATGGCAGTACATCTACCTAGAAATCAGCCTTTCTGTCTTTCTACATGGGGGTCCATTTGACTGTTCTGTTTTGTTTTGGTGTTATTAGAGTTTGAACCTAGGACTTTGTATATGCAAGGCAAGTGCTCTACTACTAAACTACATCACTGGCCTTGGACCTGGTCACCCCCCTTAAGCAGAGAGCAACTATCCCATTGTCCACACAAAACTATCTCAAAATATAAATGTTGGAAGTCACAAGCTAATACAAATGCAATGGACTTGTTTAAAGCATTAGCTATATTCTGCATCTGCCTTTGATTGGTATCAGTTTCCTTAATGACTCTAAGGCTGTGGGAGAGCCTGCGGACTCACTCTCCTTGTTAACTGATTCAGTCCAGACTGTGTCTGTCTTAGCAGGAGAGGAGTGTTCCTGTGTTGCTAGACTTTATGGACAGCAAATTCAATATTCCTGATCAAAGCCAAACCAAGTTTTAATATTAGGTCCACTTAGGTGTATTGATGTTATAAAACTCTGGGTAGAAACTGAGTGAAGATGACAGATTAATTGCCCTCAGAGGAGCACAGATATCCAGCCACAACCTCATACATCTTGTTGCTATTTCTGCTGTAGAGACACAGCTGATAGGAATCAGAGATCTGTGTTCTCTCTGTCCCTGAACACTTTAATCACTGGAACACAATAACTGCAGCATTGTTCCTTTCCTCTGTAATTGTTTGGGATGTTTTTCATTTTAACATGAAAGTCGTATCTTAGAAGCAGAAAGGGGGTAAAATCAGGAACATTCACAAGGAGCCGCTGGTTTTCATTTGTGTATATTACTGAATTTGTGATGCCGAGACCTCAAGAAGGAAAAAAAAAATGTCTTTAAGGAAAAGAGAAAACATATTTTGATGTAAAGAGAGAGTGGGAGGGGGAGGGAGAGGGAGGAAGCAGGGATAATGAGGTTGAGAATGCAAACAATTGAGTAAAACAAGAACGGGCTAACAAAGGCTAAGAGTCCTAGAATAAAGGACAATCCCTGATACCATCCTCTTCCCAGAGCACTACAAAAGCTATGTTTTAATTGTACAGCAACACATTCAATGAGAAGTTATTCACTACCAATATATTCATGAATTTTGTACATAATTATGGTAAAATAAAAAGTTTTTAAATATAGCATAAAAAGCAATGTTCTTTATACTATCCCAATTAAATTTTCTGTGTCATAAGATACAAAGCAAGGGCACAGTAGGCACGTTTTACTAATCCAAAGTAACAGTTCTTGTCATGGGGACAGGCTGTCCTTATTTTGTTTGTACACAGTGCCTCAAATGTGCTCCACCTTCTATGTTAGATATTACAATAACATTAAGATTTTCTGCCTTTTTAACTATATATTTTAAATTTTATAGCTAACTAGGCTATAGTTATCATTTGATATACCTTTTATCATCACAAAAGCTGGGAAAATATAATTCATTTTATATAATGGTATCTTAGTTGGGTTTCTATTGCTAAGATCAACACCATGTCCAAAATCAACTTGGGAAGGGAAAGGTTCATTTGGCTTACAGGTCCCAGTCAAAGCCCATCACTAAGGCAAGTCAGAACAGGAACTCAAGGTAGGCAACTGGACCAGGCAGAACTAAAGCAGAAGCCATAGAGGAGTACTGCTTTACTGACTTGTTTTCCATGGATTATTCAGCTGCTTTCTTAAACACCCCAGCTCTATATGAACAGGGGTGGAACTTTACATACTAGGCTGTGCCCTCCCACATCAATCATTAATCAAAAAAATGTTCCCCACACATATCTACAGGTCAATCTGATGGAGGTGGTTTTTTGTTTTGTTTTGTTTTGTTTTGTTTTCAGTTGAGGCTCCCTCCTCCCAGTTGACCCTGGCTTGTGTCAACTGTCAAAAAATAAATAAATAAAACCCCCCAAAACAAACAAAAACAAAAATCAAAAACAAACAGAAAACAAAACAAAACAAAAAGCATAACAACAACAACAAAAAAAACCCCAACCCTTCCAAAAAACCTACCAAAAAACAAAACTAACCAGAACAAATGGTATTCAAAGATTTTCTGGGGAAAATAATTTAGTGTTAGGGCACTTGCCTAGCATGTATGAGTCCCTGGATTTGATACCCAGTACCAAAATACAAATAAATAAAATAGAAAAACACCATCTAGAATTTCAGTAGCTGTAAGAATAAATGTTGAAGCCATGGAGATGGTTCAGTGTGTAAAGTGGTCAGTACACAAGCATGAGGGCCTGAGTTCAGATCCCCAGCACTTATGTGAAAAGGTAGGTAAAGTTTCATGTGTCTCTAACCCCAGACCTAGGAGGGCAGAGACAAGTGGACCCTGGAGACAGCCAGCCAATCATGCTGAAAAAGCAAGCATTATGTTCCGTGAGGGAGATTGTCACAATAAACAAGGAAGAAAGATGGAGGAAAATGTCTGGCGTCAATTTGTGCACCTCCACCTCTAAGGCACAGAAAACAAACAAACAGCAACAAAAACAAAAACTAAATGGCAAAAACTCAAACTTGTCACAGTACCCTAACTTTACCTAGCACTCTCTGTGTATTTTCCACTGACATGTACCTCCAAAGATATTACTTCATTACATTAAAACATTTCTGTCCATTTCCAATTTGATGGCTTCATCAATATGCTTCTATGGAATGCAGCCATCAGAACTGTCTCTTACATCTCTTGAATTCCACCCAATGTGTTTTCCTCCTTCTTAGAATTATTGAAACAAATCCAGCACATGATAGAAATTGATTCTGGGCAATCTGGAATTTGTTGATGCTGGAAAGTCATTCACACTGAAATGTGAATCAGTTAAAAGCCTTTTGGGTCAGGTTGAATGCTTCTTTATAAGTGCATCTGAATCCTAAAGTGAAATCTGACCTTTGAAAACAGTGGGAAAACATTACATTTCCTAAGAACTAAAATGCAGTTTTTTGTGTGCAGATTATTAGGGAAGAAAGCCATAAACGCACAACCATGCAAACACACACACACACACACACACACACACACACACACACACACACACACACGGAGGAATGCCATTCATCCTTAAAAGGGGAATCCACTCTTACATCCACACACAAGCTACCCATCTAGACACACAAGAAACAAGAAAAGAGATTAATCTTTAAATGTCCATGATTTCTTGTGGGGCAACATTGAGAAAGTTAGAATGCACTTGCTTCATATACTGAAAGTATTTCTTTCAGAATGTTCTTCAGCTTATTTTATGGAAATCTACCATGCTTGCTAATGTTCTGTAGCAGATCTTTCCTTCCATTTATGAAACATATGAGAGGAGGCTGGGAT